AGCTGAAAGCCAGAATTGTTAAAAGAACATATTTCAGCTAAACCACAAGTGCCAGAGCACAGTAAAATTGTGTGGGATGGTTTAATAATTCTTTTTATTTGCTGTACAAGTGTGGGCTGTTAATATTCCCTTTACTTAGCCATGGTGATAAATGCTTCCAGTCCACTTGATTTATAGTGACCTTTGCCTCGAGGAACCACTTTTCTATCTAAGGCTCAGGAGTTCTGTTCAGATGGGAAATTTTATTTAAAACATCCTGGTATTCAAAGACAGAATTCCAGAATGACAGAACCACCTCTGTCTTCTGTTTCCAGGGTGTCTTTGAATAGTTAGTCCTCAATTTCTTTTTTCAGTCTCTTGTTGCACTGTCCTTTCTGAGGTGGATTTAGGGATGACAGACACGGGACAGTGAAATTGCTGATCTGTTGCAAAAGCAGGAGCTGGAATGAGAGAGCTTTAACATCCCTCGTGAGAGGACAAACTTGTCTGCAGGCAACAGTTTGCCTTTCTGAAATGTATGACTTGCAGGGTGCTATGAATAGCTTTCTTTTAGTTCTTGTTAGTTATCCTGCTCTTGTAATTCAAATAAGGTATCCATTGTTTAAAAACATCACACCAAAGCTGCATCTGTCTCCATGCTTCAGTCTTACATGACTGAAATGCTTTGTGAGATGACTCGGACAGTGCTTAAATTACATCGATGGTGCAGGAGGCTTAGTACCTACTGAAACTATGGAAGAGTAAATTACGTGGAATTTTGAGTATGTTGAAGGAAGAAAAAGTGGTTTTATTGTTGTTTGCCTAAGAGATGACAGGATTAAAATTGAGGAATAAGGTACTAAATGGAACATTCTCTGTTAACACCACTGTGGAACAGCAGAAGGCCGTGGCATTAACCTTTGGGTTATTAATATGTTGGTGGAGGGAAGGATTAAGAAAAGGGCAGGTTGTGGGACACAAATGGGACAAAGGCCAGAGGCAAATAATTTTGTATTGACTCCAGTTTTAAAAAATAAATTCAAGGCAGAAATTAAAACATTTTCAAAGGTGTTTATGCAGTCAAATGTTGTCACTTCGCAAGTGAGATTACTCCTCTGCTCTGGGACTGGGGAAGCAGGTGTTTGAACTGTTAGTATAATTAAGGGTCAAGTAAAATAAATGTAAATTCAAGGCTATGCTTTACTGCAGTGATATGTGTTATCTCAGAGCATATGGAATGTAAAGGCAGATAAATGTATTGAATCTTCATTCCATAATGTCACACGTGTCCCCCTGTGACTGGTAAAATGTTTGCCTCCTACATCCCCTTAGCCTGCTACCACTGTAATTACATTGGGTGTGCTGCCTGTTGTTACTTCTGAACAACAATCCTGTGTGTTTCACCTTGGAGGATTGGGAAATGTTCTTCATTCCATAATCCATTTTCTCCTGGTTATGGATGTCCCTGTGGAAGGTGCTGAGAGCTCAGATCAGAAATGCATCATGATGTAGAAAACTGAGGAGTAATGCTGATGCTTCTGCAAGAAACATTGTAGTTGTGTTGAAATGGGATTAAAATGTCAAAAGATCATCTCAAGGGATCAACTTTTAGCTCATTAAAGTGATACTTTGGCTTTTGCCACCAGTGGGAAGCCAGGGAGTGCTCCCTGGCAGCAAGTGGTGCATGGAAAGCTCCACAGCAGGGTACAAACCCTGTTCCTAATCCTGATTTAGTGTGACCTTGGGTGAGGTGTTTCATTTCTCTCTGCTTCCCTGTCCCATAGCTTAAAGTTAATGATGTGTTTCAGAGGATTTCAGTTAAACAGCTGGTGATTTTAAAGCACTTGGAGAATTATATGTTCTATCTATTGTTGTGGTTTAATGCCTCACAACTGAAAAGTAAGGCTGAAAATGGAGAAGTTCTTGCTGGGCACCCTGGTGAGGAACACAGTGATGAGGTGACCTCCACTGAGATTCAGGGCTGGTTGTTTTTCTCTTCTCTGCTCAAAACCAGCAGCGCTGGCCAGGCAGTGAAGTTCTGTGTGATCTCAGCCACTGAAAGAAGCAGCATACATCAGGGCAGTGTTGGATGCAGCAGCCTGGGAGGCATGTGTGTGTCTGGAGTCTCCCACAGCCCATCACAGACTGGGGGCCAGTTAATCAGCTCACCAGGGGGACTTGCCCAGCCCTCTGTGCAGCTCCTGACTGTGGAGCCTCGGGCTGTGGCTTGGCAGTCATTGGCAGCCACTACACTGCTCAATTCCAAGGTCATTCAGAGGGGCCTTGCCCATTAAATAGACTTTAAAATAGTGTTTATACTTGATCTGGTGTTTTGTGATCAACATATGCGCTCAGAAGTTTTTTTTTTTGGGGGGGGGGGACTCCTTGTGACTTTTTAGTATCATGTGGTGCTTGTGGAGTGAGGAGAATATGTAAGTCTTTCTACATCATGAAAATACCAAGTTGGTTAATGGTTATTGATGGATAGCAAATGCCTCGTGATTTATGACAGAACAAGTCAGCAGAGCGTGGAGTCTTGCAAAACATGAGGCACACTGAGTAAGCTCAAAGCCTGCACAGGTTGGCAAACTGGTGGAGTACAGATAATCCCAGTTAAATATCATTAATTGTTATTCTTATGTACATGTCTTCCATTGTTCAGGATCATGTTGCAATTGTCATCTGGTGGTGATTAGAAGGATGCTAGCATCACTATAAGTGCAGCATATTTCCTAGGAAAAGGTGGTTTCCTTAATGCCAAGCAATTTGTACTAATGTGTAATTACCTCATTATTTATTGTAATGTACAGAACCACTATTTATGGAATACTGCTTAGTCATGTACTGACCAGTTGACAGTCATGTTATTGAACTAGTCTGGGCATTAAAAGTTTTTCAGAGCACTTACTTTTGTCATAAAATTTTGTGTGAAAGGTAGCAAACCCTTTCAGATTGAGTAAAAGCCCAGGACATACAGAAGGCTTTAAATCACCCCTTAGGCTCCATTCAAGAACATCTCTGATTATTTGTAATGTGGATTTTACATCTTAAAATGTAGTATGGCTGCAGCTTGTGTGGAAACTGCTTCTGTATGCTGGACGCTTGTCCTGTTCCATGGCCAGGATGCATTCAAGTGCTTTCCCACCTGGGGTTCACTTGTGCCTCTCTCTGAGCAGGGAGGGGCTGTGCTGAGCTGGGATTTCTCTACTGGAAATCACATCACATCATGGCCTTTTCAGTTTTCCTCCTCTACTTCATCTCCTGGTGTTGGCTGCATGGGCACCACGAGCTTTGCTCTTGTGCTGAGCTCCCTCAGAGTCGGTTTTATGGGTGCCAGCTGCTGGCAGCTGTGTTGGGAACGGGATGATCCGTGAGCTGGGGCCTGGGCTCTGACAAGGAGAATTCCCATCTCTGCTTTCGTGGTGCTTTCCACCGGAGATCCCGGAGCTGTGCTGTCCCCTCCAGCTGTAGGTGACTGAATGAAGCTGTGTGGGCCTGGCTGTCCCTGTATCTCTCCCCAAAAACACTGGAGCCTTTGTCTCTGGCCTCACCGTGCCCCTGCCATGACAGAGGCTCTCTGTGCTCTCCTGCCAGCGCTGCGCCGAGTTCAGGGGGCTTTTCTTCAGCTGCTCTTTGTCTGGGGGTGTTTATTGTGCTGCTGCAGAGTGTGTGTGTTTGAGGGGGGGAGAGGAGGGGCTCCTGTTTGTGTGGGCTTTATAAACCCAGTGCATTCTTCAAAAGAGATGCTGAGCAAACGGGGTGGTGTTAATGTTAACCCTTCCGAGGTTGCTGTGTAAGGCAGGGAGTCTGCTCCCCTTTGCTCGTAATGCTGTTTGATCTTCTGTGGATGCTGCACATGTGTGTCAGCAAAGAGCCTCCTAAATGTGGGGAGATGGAATCTGTTCTAGGATTTCCCCCCAGAGTCCTTCTGGAAGTTGTTTTTATTGCAAACACTGGCTCACTAGCCCTTTCTGTTTGCATAACTCGCTCCTGCATCCTGTTTATGTGGCTTCATTGGACAACATCTCCTCATTGTGCTTCATCTCCACACTTTATGATCCTGTACTTTAGGGCTTTTCCTTTTGAATAAGGTTCTGAATTTTCAGGAGTATTTTCTTAAATTCACTTGCAGTGGCATGTCATACCTACCTTTTGAACCAGCTTCTTTTCTCTAACCAGCTTGTTACAACTTCCATGGTTCAGATGGCTCTTACTGTTTCTTTAGTGCCTGGGGTCCTGTATTTCAAGAAAGCTTTGAAAGATGAAAATCAACAACTCATAAACTTCATTTCCCTTATAGTCACATAATGCTTTGCATTGTTGGTTGGTGGGGAAAAAACCCAACCAACAACTGAACAGAACAGCATCAACTCTCTAAGCTCCTTTTGCTCTTCTTCCATAAGAGGATGGGAATTTAGAACATGGAAAATCTGTCCTCCATCTCTGCAAGAAGCTGCAGCCACACAATTGTCTTAGTGTTGGAAGTGCCAGAAGAGTTTTATATTTCACTGAATCTGTGCTCAGCATAAATGTTTCAGTCCCTCTTTTGTGATGATCTGCTTAAATAGAGTATACTGCAAATAGTTTTGTGTGTGATAAAAGTACATTTTTTTCAAAGACAGTATCTTTTCTTAAGTTACTGAACATTTCCTCCGAAATTACTAAGATTAGATCCAGCATTTTACAAAGCAATGTGAAGAACTTTTACTTTGAAATAATTAATATCCTTTTATCTTTACATCAATATAATTAATAGGGGGTTGTAGCTCATGTATTGCAGCATTTATGTAGTATATAATTACACTGGGAAAAAGTTTACCAGGTTGTGTTCCTTTGCAGGGGGAAGAAATGCAGAATAATACAAGCCTTTGAAACATGAATCCACACAATCAGTCATGACTAAACCTATTCAAACACTGAGGTGTTTTTTTCCAGGACTGCTCTAGGCTCCAGCATTGTTGTTGTGAAACTTGTTTTCTTCATGCACTAACTCAAATTTGCTTCATCCCTTGTTCCTCCAGGAGCAGTTTCGGCCGCGAAGCGCACGGGGATCCCAGCACCCCGGGAATTGTCCTCATCCGTGTCCAGGGAGAGAGCTGTGCTGCGTGGTCAAGCCAACACCAGGAAAACACAGCCCAGCCCCACCTCTTCTGGTGCACCAACTCCTACCAAACACGTGCGCCCCACCAGCAAGTCCAAGCAAGAGAATGAAACTGGTGACAAGGCTGTTCTGGAATCTCAGGTTAAAGAACTCCTGGCAGAGGCAAAGACGAAAGATTCTGAAATTACCAAACTTCGTTCTGAGTTAAAGAAATGCAAAGAGAAAGGATCACTCAATGCTGAAGGAATGGGTGCTTCCAACCAAAATTTAGAAACAGTATCACCTGTTGACATAGATCCATTAATAAGGACCCTTCAGGAGAAAAACAGGACTTTCCAAAAAGAGCTTGCTAGCCTGGGAGAAGAAAACCGTGCTTTGAAAGAGAAATTGCTTTATCTGGAGAACTCCCCCCTCTCAGACACAACCACAAGCAGTGGAGGCGACAGCAGCCTCCCAACCCCAACTACCCAAGAGTCGAGTTTTGGAAGCCCATCCAAGAGTGCGTCAAGGGGCGAAGCAGAGGAGCGCAGGCAGCACCTGAACGGGGGCGCCCTGCGCAATTCCGGTTCCTCCAGCAGCGATGTCACCAAAGCCTCCCTGTCCCCCGATGCGTCCGACTTCGAGCACATAGCAGATGTACCTTCCAGGCCAGCATCTGCCAGCAGCAACCACTTCAAAGGCTCCAAGTGCTCCACCGCAGGAAGTTCTCCAAACAATATTAGCGACCTCTCTGTGGCATCTCTTACAGAGAGAATACAAAAGATGGAGGAGAATCACCACAGCACAGCAGAAGAGCTGCAGGCCACTTTGCAGGAGCTGTCGGATCAGCAGCAAATGGTGCAGGAGCTGACAACAGAAAATGAGAAGCTGGTGGAAGAGAAAGCTCTCCTGGAGACTTCCTTCCGTCAGCACAGAGATAGAGCCGAGCAGCTGAGCCAGGAAAATGAGAAGCTCATGACTCTCCTCCAAGAGCGATCCAAGAATGAGGCTCAAGAAGAGAAGGTCCTTGAACTGGAACAGAAATGTACAGAGGTTCTTGAAAAAGCACAATTTGAAAGAGAGAAATTGCTCAACATTCAGCAACAGTTAACTAGCAGCCTGCGAAGCTTAGAAAGGGAGCATCAGGATGCCCAGCAGGTGATAAAAAGCCTGAAAGAAGAAAATGAGAAGCTGCTTAAACTTCTAGAAGTGGAACAGCAGAGCAACAGCACAGTGACAAAAAGTCTGGAGGACTGTAAAATTGCTTTGGAAGGTCTGAAAATTGAGAATGGCTCTCTCAAAACTCAGCTGGAGAATGAGAAACAAAAGGCTGCAGAAATCAATGTGATGGGCTGCACCTCTGACAACTCTGAGGTGCAGGAGATGCTCAAAGTAGCCCATGCAGAAAAAGCCCAGTTAGAAGCCTCTTGCACTGAGCTGAAACAAGAGCTGCTGAAGGCAAACAGTGAACTGAAGCACATTCAGGGGCTGCTGTCTAAGGTAAAACAGTAACAGCTCTAAAATAAAAGTGGTTGTTTCTGTCCTATCACAAATAGGTTGGTCTTTACATTGTAATTGAACTGTTGATTGTAAGTTTCCAGGATTTAAATTGTATTATTAGCTCTTAGTAGAAGCTGGGATTATATGATATTGTCTCAGTTTCTGCTGCTCTACTCGTATTTTCTCAGAAATAACTATTGGCATATCTGTATTTATAAATTCATAACTATTTTGTCCTAATACCTTCTGTAGAATTTGCTCTTTCAGTAAACAGAATTGTGTCTATTAGAATTGAAGCAAAGAGCAGGTCAATAAAAAAGTACTTTGATATGGTGTGAACAAATAGTGTAAATCACTTGCTAATCAGATGAAGAGAAGGGCATAAATAGTTAGCTGTGAATATTAAATTCTGAATAATGAATCACAATTAATTAGCAGTGAAGTGTAGGTGTCATTGGTCATGAGAACACAAGGACATGAATTAATGCTCAGGGGAGCTGATAGGGACAGCAACAAGTCACAGCACAGTCAAGCTCCAGATGAGATAATTTTCATAAAACAAATATTTTTTATGAAAGAAAGAAATGCTCTGTTTTGGGATAGGTAAAGTAACATTAAAAAAAATAGAAAAATTAACCTAATTTGCGAGTTCATAGCTTTGCTCCAAACAAGGTTAAGCAGATTACTACCCCTGTTTCTGGGCTCTGTGATCCTGGCTGTTCAGAGGAGCTGCAGTGTGAGCCATCATTCAACAAGTGTTAATAAAGCAGAAGCAGTGATTATGTCCCAGTGCTGCAGGAGGAGTGAAAGTGTGCAGCCTTTCCTGTATGGGGAAGGGAGCATGAGAAGAATGATAAAATTGGCTGCAGATGAAGAGAGCATTGCCAAAAAGCACCTCCATGGTTTGAGTGATGTAGAAAATCCAGATGTCCTTTCAGCTAAAATAGGTGACCACAGCAAATGGAGTTAGAAGAGGAAGCTTTCCTCCACTTTTCCCAAGTGCTTTCTGGAGCTGCAGGTCATGAAGAATAAATGAAAAACTGCTGAGTGCTCAGACTCTGTACCAAACTTTTTATTGCTTGGTTTGGAAACCACAGATTTCCCTCTTTTTACTCTTCCCTTCCCTCGAATTAAGCTGTTTTGAATCATTGGCTATTTGTGACACCCAAACAAGACCACAGGCTTCTGTAAGGCTGCCCTGCAGTGAGGCTGTGCCAGTGCTGCTCACTGAATTGGCAGCCTGCACCTTTTTCATGACTTGTTCATAGTCAGAGAGCTCCCCCCAAACCTGGAAACATTGATCAGTGGGCTGAGCCAACAAACTGAAGTGCAGCAGATTCCCCCTTCAGTAATTCCAGATGTCCCAATTCAGAAGTACACTTATCTGCAGTAGCTGGCTCTGCTATGTGCGTTTTCACAGTTCATTGAAAATGCACATGGTAAAAGCAGCAAATTGTTAATGTGGATGAACTGATCATCAGCGTGGCCCTAAGGCAGTGATATCACTTTCATAATGTTCTACAGAAATAGAAGAGGAGATTTCTGGGAATATAACTCCTCTCCCTTCATTAACTGCAGAGATTGGTTTGGAATTGTGATTATCATATAGAAAATTTCATTTCCTTTGCAGAATCTTGTATTATCTTTATTGCCAGGAAAGAAAACTGACATTTATCGCTCATCTCTGCTTCCTGAGACTCTATTTTTTTTTTAAACTGGGTGTACACAATGCTTAAATCACAAGGTGCCCAGTAAAGTCTCTAATGAGTGAGGTCTCCTAAGAAATAAGGACAAACTTGCACATTTCTTCTTCCCTCCCAGGCTGAGAATGAGTATGGTCAGCTGAAGGAGGTGTGTGACCGACAGGCTGAGCAACTGAGCAGAACCAGCCAGAAGCTGCAGGAGAAGACATCAGAGAATGAAGCAGATATCAAAAACCTGAAGGAGACCATTTTTGAGTTGGAAGACCAGGTGGAGCAACATCGTGCTATAAAACTCCACAACAACCAGCTCATCAGTGACCTAGAAAGTAGGTGGGGCTGGGAAAAAGGATTGAAGTGAGCTTATTTGGGGGGCTCAGTTATGGCTCCAGCAGGGAGGAGGCAGTCTGACCTTTATAAATATTCCAGTTTTGGATATTCCCTTCTGTTTATGCATAAAAGTGCTATTTTAGCAGAGAGTGCTATAGATGGGACATTAGAGACAGTCTCTAAGCCTCATTCTTCAGTGAAGGAAGTATTACCTGTTCCAGAAATTGGAATGACTGGACTTTTATTAAAGAGTTTTTAGGGCAGAGCACTGGGAAGAGCAGTGAAGTCGAGGTTGCTGTGGATGGGGAGCTGGGAGCTGCCACCTGGTGGAACCAGTGGCTCAGTGATCCCTCGGGAGGTGTGTTCTGAGCGAGTGAATCCACATGGGGTTGTTTAAATTTCAGTCTGGTTTAATACCTGAAAATAATGACATATTTTAGAGATGTTTGAGCACCAGTTCTACTGTTGGTTCCATTCCTGATCATTGGCAGTGTCTTAATTCAGTTTAGTCTATTTTAGTGGCATTACCAGAAGCAAACCCAAATCAGCTGCTCTGCCCTTCCATTCTCACTTTCACTGTTGCCCTTATGTGTTTGATGAACTTTTCACATTTTTTATCATTCCTAGGCAAAGCAATGAAGCTGGAAGAACAAAAACAAGATACAGAGAGGCAGCTGAAGGCTCTGACTAAGCAGATGAAGGTAAGGTTTAAGCTCCAAGACAAAGCTAAGCTGAGCTTTTATTGCAGTACTATCATTGTGTTTTCCTAGAAAAGAGCAGAAATTCTTTGTGCATCCTTTAAGTCTTCATTCTCTTCACTTTGGACTTCTTGGCAATATTGGAGTAGAAAGGTTAGCATGAGTTTCTTTGGCAATATTTTTGGTAGTATAAAGAGGCAAGTGTTCAATTTGACCAAGCACCACCTTAAAATTGTGGGAAAATCCTGGTTGCTTGTGATCACTTCAATAACTAAGTGTTCAGCTCGATTGGGTGCATTTTTACAGCAGTTTGGGGTTCTAATTGCTCTTTCCAGGAGGACACAGAGGAGTGGAGGCGTTTCCAGGCTGACCTGCAGACTGCAGTGGTTGTCGCCAATGACATTAAGTGTGAAGCTCAGCAGGAGCTCCGTGTGGTGAAGAGGAAGCTGCAGGAGGAGGAGGAGAAGAGTGCCAGACTGCAGAAGGAGCTGGATGAAGTGAAGGGCAGCAACAGGTTGGTTGTTTACCATTTACCAAAGCCAAGACTTGATCTGTGTGCCTGCTAACACGCATGCAAACAGTGCTTTGTCAGTAACTATTTGCTGGCTTGGATGTGCATCTTTGTCTGTTTGTAACTCTTCTGGCAGATTTTGTTGTCTCTTACTCTGTTATTTTTCTTTTTGGCAGTCTAGTTCTGTCAGCTAAGCTATGAAGGTTTTGATCAGCAAATATTAAGTAGTAACAATTGCCAATATCCTCTGATAGCTTTGCTCTCAACATGGTGATGGCTTTATAACTCTGTGCAGCTGTATTAAACCATCTGTGGGAGGATTGGTTTGGTACAGATATTCCAGAAGAGAACTACTTAACCTGAGGGAAGTCAGTGAAGAAATACAAAGTAACACAAGCAGTCATCTCTTAATCAGAAATATGTGTAAATTACTTTTACTCCTATAGATTTTGCCTTTTAATCTCTCCTGGTAAATTCATGACCATTGGCAGAATGGCCACAGGAACAGGGTGAATCCTGTCATGTCTTTCAGGTGAAGTAACAGTCCAGCTCTACGTTGCACTTATTTGCTCACTGTTTCCCATCCAGAGGTTTCCACAGCAGCTGTACAGTAGATGGGACTAAAAGCATGGGAGAGGTTTTTTGTGGAGGTGTAGGGATCACAATGCCTGGATTGAACAAACAGAAAAACTTATTTTCAGAAAATAAAGGAATGTTTTTAGGCTCCAGTTTCATTAGCAGAGTCCCAAGTGGATGCAAAGAAAAACTGTTACAGACCATGTACTCAGACAAAATGATTACCAGACAGTACTTAAGGTTCTGGGCTCTGTTTCCATTCCTAATTTGTTCTTAATGAAATTTCTCTTGTTGAAAGCAGGGCTCCTATATGAGGGTGGGGAATCATATTCTCATAGCTTCCCCTCTATATTATTTTGGCTTTTAAGATATATTTGATAGTACTTCAAATGAATAGAAGATGACCTGCTAATTTGCAAACTGGAATATTTATCTTCCATCTGTAAGGAACATGATCAGCTCTTTGGTATAAGAAGGCTGAGCTGCAAATACTCCTTTACAAATTGGAACCCCAGAATCCATACAGCTGTAGTTCCAGGAGGAAGTGTTCAGGCATGTATTTAATGAAGTTGGTTTTGGCTTTTGTGTCTCCCTCTGTGTCACACACACATGGATGTGTCTGTCTCTGTGTCATGTTGACTCTCTGTGTAGCTTGCTTTGAGTATCGCCTTGGTTATGGAGCCAGATGTGCTGTCTGCAGTGGGCAATATTGATTCTCTTTCAAAGGCAGGTAACAACACCAAATTTTGCATCTGTCAGGATAAGTAATTTGACTCTGAGTGTGCAAAATGTCTGTACTGAGTGGTATGGGGAACATAATGAAGCCTGTGGAAGTCCCTGTCTAAACAAACCAGTGATCAGCAGCTAAACACTGGAATTTTAAAGCTCTACTGACCTATGAAACAAATTCCTGAAGTCACCAAAGCTCCTGCTGAGAGCCAGTTCTACACTTCCAGATATTTTTGCATTCCTGAGGTCTGTCTCCCCCAGCACCTTGGCTTCTTTCACCCAGGAAGTTCTGGGGGTATTCTCATGATCACTTTGTCAGCTTTCACAAATGCCACTGCTCAGAATCAGCAGTGGATTCTAGTGCCTGTGGTGATTTTGATGTGTGCTCAGTACTGGTGGAAGCAGTTTGTAGCATGATACTTTAACAGAGTCTATAAAGTATTCCTCATGTTTGCTAATGCTGAGCAGCTGCACGCTCAGCTGAATGTCTGACAGTCCCTAGTGAAAGTTTCTTGTCTGATTTTTAAGCTCTTATTGGAAAATGTACCTTCCAAAGAGCTTGCTACTCAAAGGTTTTTGGCAAAATCTCAGCCATCTCTTGAGGGTCATTAGACTCCACCTCATAAATTCATCTTGAAACCAATTTATCTCCTATGACATCCTGCCATTTTAATGTTTGCCTGTGGCTGCCTGAGTTCCTGCCTCCAAGTTTGATTTCACCGTTACGTTCTTCTAATGAGACAAAAAGTCATTTCTGGTTTAGGATCAGCCCAAGAACTTGCAGAAAAAATCCTGATGAGGTCATCAGAGTTCAACTGAATGAAGGTAAGAGCCTCCCAAGGGCATCTTTAACACAGATTAAATGTCTAATTCTATGACTGAGAATGCTGGGGGGGAGGTTGGACAAGCATCGACCAAATGAAAGAAGAGAAAAAGGAGTTAACTTTGTCCCAAGTTAGTATTGGTGAAACTACAAATTGATTAACCCATGCTTCAGGCAGTCTTCTGTGATATTTTACATCCTAATTATTTCTCTGCACTAAAATGCAGACACTTACAATCCACTGTTGTGTAGCTGTCTCCTCACAGGTGGTGGAAATTGGAGTTAAATAGTCTCCATCCTTGGAGGTTTATAAGACAGACAGGATAAGATCCTGAGTAAAAGTTTCAAGATCTTGCTTTGACTCTTCAGCTTCAAATTGTCAAAATTATTCTGGCACTAAAGCATTTTGTGTCTTGAACTAAGAACATGGAGGGAAGACAGTTGGGCCAGGATTAGTACTTAGAGAAATGAAATCTGTAATTAAATGAGCGATTCTTAGAATTATAAAAAAATTAACCAGATCTTCAAACGGAAGCCTAAACTGAAGATTGTGATGCATCCCACTAATTTGCTTCTGTTTTTCCTCCTAAAGTCTCCAATGCCACAGCATGGCAGTGTCACATGCTTTTTTCCTGGAAATGAGCTTGTACTCTGTGTATTAAACCCTGCTGTCAGTCTGTATGTGCTGATGTGCTGCTCATTTGTGCCTGTGTTTGCAGCTGTTCTGTCTCACAGGGGTTTGAGAGTTCACTCTGCTCTCACAGCAAGCAAAGGGAGGATGGCAGAGCAGGGCTCTCGAAGCAGTGTTTGTTTGCTCCTCAGTTGTTTGATGTGGGCGTTTGGGATTTTTATGGAGTTCCTGGTGGGGTTTTTTTACATTGGATGAGGTTATTCCATCCTCTCTAGTGCAAGGATCCTGAAGCTCTGGCTGAGGTAGAGCAGCTCAGCTGCCTGGATGGGTCCATGTAACCTTTTTGAATGAACAGTCTGAAATGAGCAGAGGAGAGGAAAGCCAGGAACACTGCCATCCCTGTCCTACATTAATTCCCTGGCTGTAAATAATTTCTTCATATCTGAGCAACACAGATTTATTCTGTGTTTTGTACTGTTACTGCTCACCACATCTCAAAGCCAAATTAGTGGAGTGTTAAGGTGCTCCTTTACCTGTCCCAGCCACACCACTGGCATTTCCCTGGCTCCCCCTAATTTAGAGGTGATGGGATGATGTAAAATAGAGAGCTGTTCCTCGGGGTGGGCATGGTGTGGCTTTCCATAACCTCCCCAACTGCTGTGTGTCTCTCCACAGGTGCCTGATCTCTGCCAGCTAACACAGCCCTGAAAGGAGGCACAGCCAGGCCTGTGAGACACTGCAGGACTTGCCTTCAACTCCCAGCTGAAAAAGGGAAGTTTCAATACAAGAAAGCACCTCTGTTTTTTTTATTACCCTGCAAAATTCAAGTGTATTGCAAAGTGTGAATGCTCAGGTCCACCTCTTCCCCATGGGCAAGAGCCACTCTCTTTGTTTTAGAAGGCTTCTCTCTTCAGAAGACACCAGGAGGCAGAAGAAGTTCTGAATTACTCTAAAGCCAGCTAAGCCATAAGAAGTAATCACAAGAGATTTGGGGATCTGAAATAACTGGGAGCTTTTTTTTTTGAGGGATGGGGCTATTTTCCTCAAAACAGGCATTCAAACATGCCGTTTAACCTTAAACAAAAATTACCCTGAGTGTGTTTGTCTGATTTGTAACATTTAATGGCATATGCATAAATTCTCCATGTAATATTATATTCTATTATCTATTTCTGTGTGTCTAAATACATGTAAGAGAGCAAATGGCTTAAACAGACACACAGACTTGGGGATAGGTCACTGAAATCCAGCAGCAAAACCGAGTGGAAGCACGGATTTACTCTCTCGTTCTCAGCTGCTCTGCTGGTTTCAGATTTCCGCTCCTGCATTGACAAGGCGCTCGCCGCTGGGTGGCACGGCCGACACGGTGGTGCTGGGAAGGGACAACCATGGAGTGTGTCCTGCTGTGACCTTCCCGGGGAGAGATCCCTGCGAGGTTTGTCCTCCTCTAAGAACTGCAGATGGAGAGAACAGAAGGAAAAGATTCGAACATATCAAGCCCCTAGTAAACACCCTCTCAGAAAGGAGCTGTTCTCATGCCTTTAACTCAGGTGAAGTATATGATGATCAGGGAGAACTTGAAGTTCAGCTCTGCAGCTGGAGACACCTGGAGAGAGCTTTCCATGGATGCTGAGGAAAAACTCAGATCACCATCTCTACCAGGAGATTCTCATGATTTGTTCCAGGACTGGAATTCTGTGTTTTGACTGTGGGATTTCTGTCCTTTTCTTCTGGATGTGAAGACCTAGCAAGGACCTGGTGTGGGAGCAGGCAGAGCTAGTGGAGAATTCCACAGGATGTCCTGGCTTTGGCATGGCCCCCACCTTTGTGCCGTGCTACTGGAGTGTTTGCATATATGCACACTGTGTTGCCTTTCTCTGCTGTGCTGGCAGCTGTTGAATGTTGGTTTTTATGTTTCAGAAATATACATTGAAGTGCCAAATAAATGTTTAAGTGTTTGGAATTGTCTGCTGCCTGCCCTCGGCCTCTCTTCTATTCTGTGCAGCGGTAGCTGTGTGTCTCTTCTTTGTGTGCCTTGGAGTTCAGGAGGAGTCACAATGACAGGAGCTGTGTCAAAGATGAGATTGGGGAGTTATTTCTGAAAATGTGGTCCTGTGGTCTTAGGCCTCCTGTAACAGTCATCAGAGCAGTTTAGAAATTTAACAAACATTAGAAGGCTGAGTTTGCCAAAAATCTGTACATTAAGCCCAAAAAGACCTGCACCTTGTTATCAGTCAGTTGTCCACATATTTCAAACTTGGAAAACAAGGAGACTCACTTTTGCTGTTAGAGAAAAGCTCTCTGCATCTATTTCTCTCACCAGTGAATGAATGAAACTCAGCAGTGATTTTGTGAAAGGGACTGCACATTTTAATTCCTTTGTGGCCTCCAATGCTCTGCTTCCTCCTGGAGCTGCTCCACTTCAGCCAGCTGCACGTGCAGCATTTATCTGTGTGAACCATTCATTCCCGTTTCCAGGAAAGCATACAGCACTTGGGGACATTTTATTCAAATACCTAATTTTTGTAGCAGAACTTGTGTAGTCTCTTGGATGGCCTGAAATGTGCTAAGCTGAAGAAATTCTCTGCATGAGGATGAGTCATTTTGGGTTTGAAGTTATGGCTTATCATTTATCTTTCTAGTTTGTGCTTTGTACTGTCCTCCTGAATTAGCTACTGCGAGTTAAGCTCTTGCTGTTTTGCTTCTCTCTAAAGAAGCCCATCTCTATACACACATGTGCTTCCCCCTATCAACAGATTTTTCTTTTTAAGGTTAAGTGCTCACCAATTTCACCTCTCCATTGCTTGTTGGCTGGCATGTGTTGTTTTAGTTGAAGGAAGTTGCTCTCAGGACTGTTGTTTTTACCTCTTATGCCAAGGTTTGCAGCATGGGAGGCCTCGGTTTTCTCTTCTGATTGTGTTTCATCAAGGAGGTTGTTTCAGGCTGCCTATTACAAATACACAGATGGAAGATTACAGGAAGCATCCTAAAAAAAATAGAAACTGGTTGTAACTCCAGCACTTGAATTCTCATAATGACAGAATAATGGCACCTGAATTCTCAGTTGACTCTTCTGTGGCACAGGGGCTGGTCTAGTTACTCTTTTTAACGTTTACATCCTTCTGCAGTCAAAGGCCAGAATGAAAATGTAATAGATTGCACTGGGTAGTTTGGGGTCTTGAGGCAGAAATTTATCCTCCCTCCATACTTTGCAGCACTCATTTTGCTTTTGTGGTTTGTGTAACTCAGGTGCAGATGCTGTCACATGCTGATTTGTTGTTCATGTTTTATGAACCACAAACAAGAAGTCAAGGCTGGAACTTAAGGCTAGCAAAACACTGGCTCCTTCAGAGCTCAGTGAATCTTACCCAATCTGTCTTTCCTCCTTATTGGATTAAAGGAGAATGGAACTGAAATGGCTTTTTCTCCAGCCATCTGCCTCTGCAGGCTCCCCTGGCACACAAGGAGCTTCAATGAATTAAAGAAATAGCAAAAGTCTGCTTAAAGACAGCACCTCCTTAAGCCCTGCCAGAAATAGAAACTTGAGTCACTCTTTTATTCACTGACACCCTTTAGCCTTTTTCATTTTCCGATGGCTAAAGGGAAAGGAAAGGGCTCTGACTTCCCTTTTTGGCTCACAGAAGTTGTTCAACCCCATAGGCACTTTCTGGATAGACTCCTCCAGGCACCTTATGAAATAATTTCTGGTTTTGTGTTTATGTAGCTCTTGGTGTGTATCAAGCACTGTAAATACAGGGAGATGTGATGATAGCTCAGAACCTGCTGCTCAGCAGCTCATGTGCAGTCTCTGAGCAGGTGGGAGAGGTACAAATAATCTCTTTTTACATTACTAGACTTGATTTGCTTTCAGCTTTCCTAAACTAAAGCTAGGTAATTGCATTCCAAGTCTACCTGAGAAATACAGGTAAGTCACTAAGCAGTATCATGTAAAATACTTCCCTAGAAGCAACTTTCACTGTGTGATTATATTTGATGTTTAACACAGCTCTGGGCTTTCCTGTAAGTCCAGCACTTTATCTTGACTTCAGAGTTTCTTTTCAAGTGAATAACTTCTTTATCCTTCCTGTTAAAATATGAAACCTTTTCTATTTGGTTTGTCTGTCTTGATTCTAGCCATTGGATTTTGGCCTTCCTGTTTCTGCTAGGATGAAGCACTTCTGAGTTTTATTCCCTGTATAAGTGCTTATGAATTGTAATTGAGAGTTCATTTATTTAGCAGATGTCTCTGTTGATAAGTTTTGAGTTTTTACTCTGAAGTGTATTTGCCTTTTGGTTACTTTCCTCACTGTGAACCGAGAGCCACAGCAGCCCCTTGGCACCTGTGCTGTATTGAAAGCCCATCTTCAGGTGATTATTGATAATTAGTCGAAAGTCTCATCAAACTTTCTTTTCCAATGAACATCCTCCTTCCTGTGTGAGGCTTGGGAATGGGGATGAAATGATTAACAATGCAGAAAAGTTTTTTAGACTCAGTGATTTCATGTCAGGCACTGCAAGAAAAGGACTTGAATATTCTAAGAGTGGTCCATATTCTGGGCATTGCAGTAAAACCTGCACAGTGCTTGTTGTCAGTGAAGACCTTGAATCTGTGCTTGCACTTCCCATTGGCCCTGACTTTGCTGTGGTTTGTGCTTTGCAGGCTGGCAGCTGAAGAGGTGGATTCTCTGGAGTCAGACACAGCCAGCCGCTGGCAAGGGGTCTGCCTCAGCAGAGCATCTCCCACGCCTCCAGAATCTGCAGCCACTGTGAAGTCACTGATAAAGTCATTTGACTTGGGATGCTCAGGTATTTGGACATTGTACTTTGTAGTAAAAAAAAAAATTCTAGCAGTGAGCAGCATTTGCCTCTTGCTTCTTGATGGGTGTTTTCTGTCAGTGCTTGGTGCATAAACATGGAATGTCACTACACAGTGATTCCCTGATCTGACAAGAGAGTGATAGGTGGGTTTGAAATCCAGACGTTTCCATGGTTTTTCCTTGCAGGTAGCAGTGGACAAAATATCCCAGTTCACAAGGTGCCCAGGAGCCCTCTCAGTGGAATTCCAGTGAGGACAGCCCCAGCAGCTGCTGTTTCCCCAATGCAGGTACAAGGAGTTCTTCTGTCCTGGTAGATTCAAAAGAGGTGGACACAGTGCTGGCTCTAGCATCTGCTGACAGGGGGAAGGGAAAACTCATCAGTTTGTTTGCTGTGGTCCTAAGATAAAGGATCAGAGTTTGTCTTGACTTCAGCTTAGAGATCTCAGTAGATCTCAGTGGACAGATGTGAACTCTGGAATACAGTTCTGAACTTTTATCACCATGGGCCAGAATGGGATATTGAAAACTGGCGCTGGGGCTGCAGAGACAAGAATCCTCCTGACATATGAGTCAGGGTGTTGGGAACAGGCATCCTTACTTCTGGTTTGTGAATCTAAATTGTGTTTGGCAAGAGAAAAATCATACAAATAGAAGTGTGAAGTAGTTTGGGAACCAATGTATTACCAAATAAAATATTGTCCCTTTGTCCTTTTATTTTTCACAGTTACTTACCCAACTGTAGGTGCAGCTGACACCCTGTTGAAAGGTTTTTGTGTCTCTCCATGTGCTTTGTGCTCTTGAGATAGCAGAAACTTCTTTCTGCTCTCCTGTTTAAGCATGATGACAAATACTCCTTCAATTACCTTTTGCACCTTTGTTTCACAGAGACATTCTGTGTATAGCAATGCCAAGCCAGCCAGCAAAGGCATTGCCAGACATGCAGATCTGTCAGACCTCCCTCTGGCAGGTAAGTTGTGATAAATGTACAGATACTGCCTCTTTTTTGTTAACTACACTTGTTATTAACTGTTGGCCTCAGCCTGAACCATTTTTCCTCTTCTTACATGGTCAAAGGAAAAATGGAAAGTGCCTCCAATATCTTTGTTTTACAGAGCTTATTTTGTTGTGCTTCTATTCCCATCTTGATCATAACTAAAAAATAGCTGATTTACTGTGGTTTGCCAACACAAGCTCCCCTTCTTTATTCTGAAGGATCCATGGCACCTCTCTAATCCACACTGTGGAACTGGAGAGTGTTGGATTTTGTTCAACATGTATGTCTCTGGAACAAGCCCAAAGCACTGTCTTCTGAGGGTTTATTTGTTTTTAAATTGAGCTTCATTTGAAATACATCAAACATTTCAGATACTGATGTGACTGTTTTAGGAACAGTCGTATTTGGGCTGGAAATTGTTTTGAGAGTTCTCAAGAGATGAGTTTGTTTTCATTTCACACTTTGCTTTTGTTCTCTTGTCATTTAATATTCTTTCCTACCAGTGTTTGTTTCCCATTTTCTCTAGGCCCCTTTATTTTGATTATCTGGTTCTGAATATAGTTGTTGCATTGTAATCAAAGTTAGTAACAACAGATTCTTAAATTTTTAAGGACAGATTAAATGTTGTGTTCCTGTAGTGAAACTGTAGAGAGGGACAAAAAAAGCCCCAACGATCAATCACAACTTCTTGATGGCTAGACTGGATTTTCTGCAGTCTTTTGCTAATACAGGAGACAAATTAGAGCCTGGCTAAGCAAGCAGAAGTATCTGCTTTTGTCTAGGGAAATAGACAGGGTTTATTTACTTTTATCAGTTTTTCAGGAAGTCTTGCATGAGTATGCAGATCCCAAACACAACATAAGACCTTTTTAATCTCTACCAGTTTACTGTAGAGTGAAATAATCTATCAGCTATGTAATATGATGCCAGTTCTTAACAATAAATATTTCACTCCGGGCCATGGATCATTTCTTTTATTACCCATAGACAGTTCTGTGAAAATCTGTTAAAATCAACAGATATTTTATAAGCCATTGTATGATAAAAAAATTATGGCTGCTTATCTAACAAGTTCCTGTATTTACTGCTTCTCTTTGTACCTGGATTTAATTTAGTTGCAATAATCCATAGCAAAGGCTTACTCACTGTAAAGTAGTAACAGCTCTGGTTCCAATCTAAATAATCCTAGAAGGCAGTTGATCCAAGCCCTATGCAAACAGCACTGAATCAAAAATTATCCCCAAGGAAATTCAGAGTGAAGTAGTCTCCATAATAAAAATCTCCTGGCTGATTCGATCTGACCAGTGTCGCAGCAGGGTTCTGTGATTGTCCCTAATGTGACCCAAATGTTACATAGTTGGAGAGGAGCATGGATTATTTCACTCAGAGCTGCTCTTTGGCTGTGATCTTTGAGAGTCAGAGCTTTACTGGCTCCATCTGGACTTTCTAGCACCTAGAAATAAGTCAAAGGGAGCTGAAGCTGAGATAAGAAGGAATTCACACCTTGGTGATATGGCATTAATTGATAATTATCATAGGGATGTTACTGAAAAAGAGGTGAAAAAGTTGTGTTCCACATTCAGTTTCTGATAACATAGTGTGTGCAGTCCTGGCTTGTTACATTAGCTCTTGTATTGATATGCAGTGATTTTCTTTTGACTATATAATAATATATATATAAATATATACATTATATAAATTACATAATGTGTGTAAGAAAAATACAGATGCATCTGCTGTGAATATATTGAGCCTTCTCGATGTTATGTCAGAGTGGATGTCAGACATCACGAGGAGTAAGTGCCTTTCTCTGGGCTGCATTCAGGAGACAAGAGGCTTTCTTGCTACAAGTCTGCTAATGGCAGAAAAGAAATCATTGTACTAGGGCTGCTCAGTCATCTGGTGAAGATATCTGGTGCTCAGCTTTTGAACCTTTAAGACTGTAGATTTTGGTATTTCCCTTCATTCACCTGAGGCCCCTACCCCCCAGCAGGAGTATCAATCACAGGAAACCAGGCAGCCTGTACTGTTGAAATCATCAAAGCCATTCCTTGTTGTGGTCACCTCTAATCTGCTCAAGGTTTCCTAGCCCCATGTGTGTTTAATGAACAAATGAGTACATTTGTTTAGAATCAAAACAACAGACTACATATTGTGTGCTGGGGTGGCAGGATAGTGATTAATCAAATTCTTCAGGCTGCAAACTGACAGCTTTTTTTGAATTCCCACAGACCTTCTGAAGGGGAGAAATGAAGAGCTGAAACCAGACCATTACCTCCGCAAAAGCCCCTCCCTGGAATCCCTGAGCAAACCCCCAATGGCCTTCAGCAGCAGGATGCTTTCCTCTACCCCCAGCTGCTTGAAACCCCAAAGCAAACTCAGGTATCAGCCCAGTTTCCTGGGAAAAAAAGGACAGACCAACAGCATTATCTGGAACCAAGATAAACTATTAAATCTGGAGGATTTAATCTGGAGGATCTCTTGACTCCAGAGCAGACTCTGCTGGCTGGTCTTTGGGAATTACCAGGCTCTGTTAGATCCAGACATGAAAATTCAGATTGTAATGATCACGGTTATATGGGAAATTATGATAGCAAGCTTTCAGGAGCCACTGAGTTGTACCCAAGAATTCCATAATGTGTACATGTGGTCAGCCCTCATTATCTTACTGTAATTTTGCATGTTGTGGTGAGCTAAAACCAGAGGCTCTGAGGGCTGAAGGAAATTGGACACATAATTTTCTTCTCTTGAGAAAAAACATATATTTTCCTCTGATCTCTGCCTTTATTTCCACCAGTAGAAGCTGTAGAGTGGAGACAATGTGGGTGTTTTGATTGTTGACCTTTAAATGTTCTCAGCTTGCACTTTTTTTTTCCCAAGAACTTGTTTTGCAGCAGCTCGACTGGGTGTGAATTTAGTGTTACAGATTCTCTTAGGCAGTTTCTCTCAATTTTACACCTAAATCCTAGTTTTCAATATATAAAATGAAGAGATTACTTGAAAATTGTGTAAGTAAAGTTGATTAAAATAATAGCAGAAATGTTTGGTTAACACACACCACTGGATATCACAGGTTCTGTTTTTTCAGCTCTTCATGTGCAACGACACCACCTTGTGTGAAGGAAAATACTAATTGCAAGCTCCAAAACCTAATTCAGTTTGGTTTATGTTCATGTTCTGTGTTGCCATTCTGCTTTGTCATACAGATATTATTTACACACTGTAAAAAATTAAAGAGATTTCAAGTGTATTTATTGCCTTCTCCCTTCTTCCCTGGTTTAGTGTGGAGAGGAAGGACCCCCTGGCAGCCCTGGCTCGGGAGTATGGGGGTTCCAAGAGGAATGCTTTGCTGAAATGGTGCCAAAAGAAGACTGAAGGTTACCAGGTAAGAGAATAGGTACCTTTTTACCTTAATCACATTCCTGTAGGATGCAGTAAGCAGTCACTGCAAAGAAATATGAATAATATTGTATGTTGATTTTTGCATGTTTCTTCTATGGGCTGTTTCCATCTTCTTCATTTGGATTTCTTTAACGCTGCATTCCCCAATGTTGCATTGTCATAAGTAATTTGTATGAAAACCCCAAAATATTTACTGCACTGGAGCTTGCTGATGGTGAGAAACAGAGTGTATATGTGCAGCAGCCTGAATTTAACATCAGTTTTTGAAAGTACATTCTAATATTTTTTTTCTGTAGGTTTCTGTGGGCAGTTAATTATTGTGTGAGTTTTTTCTTTAGTCCTGTCTACAAAGCCAAAGAAATATTTCATTGTGTGGCCTTGACCAAATGAAGTTTGCAGCTTGAATTTACAAAGACTTGCCTGAGATTGTCTCATTTCTTTGCAGAGTGATTTTCACTGTTATTGAGGGATAATGGTTTGTCCAGGTCTTGCATGGCCACTGCTGTGCTTTCCTGGCTGGTGTTGGTGTGCAGTTGAGTTAAGCCTTTGGTTCTGCAAGGAAGGAAGCTACAGACAATATTTCATCCTGTGGTAGATGCTGGATGTGCAGGAAGATTTTGGTTTGGTATGATGTTGGGAGTTTTCTTTCTTAGGAATAATATTGTTTGTTACTTGGAGCAGAAGACAAAGCAGTTATCACCACATGATGTGCACCCTGGAGCAAGTCTCTAATAAAAGCAGATTCCATCTTTTAAAGTCAATAATAATTTTTTTTTTTTTTTCTTCTGAGCATTTCTTTATGAAGCATTAGCTGCAGGGTGCAGGAGTTTGGAAGAGAGGACAGAGAGGCTTTCCTTTCAGTTGTTTCTTAGCACTGGTGTGTTCATCTGGCTGGCAGTAATTTCCCAGAAGGAAGGTGCTGGAGACAAATCTTGACTTTAGACACAGCTTAGAAAGAATGAGGCCAGGTTTAGTGTTTAGCCTCCAGTTCTGTGATACTGCCTCAAAGGCTACAGTGCTGTCCCCTGAAATTGTGTGATCTATGCTGAGTTGGTTTATTTTATATCTCCTCTACTAAAATTCTCCTGGGCTTGGATTTGAAAGTATGTGGGAACATTCCCACGCAGTCCTCAGAAAACAATTAAGAAAATAAAACTTTCCTAAGTCTAACTTCTGCTAGGCCAGCAAACCTATCTCAAAAGTAATGCTTCCTCCTGGCAGTGTTGCCCTTTTCACTGTTAAAAATGTTCTCTGAGCATCAGCCTGTAGGTTTCTTTCTCTGATTTACACCTGTGTTGAACTAAATATATTGCTTTTAGAAAAAAAAGGATGTGGCTTTGCAAATATAGAGGCCTGTGTGACATCTCAGGGTAGATATTAAAGTCAGAAGAACCAAAGCACAATCACAATATTGATTTATGGTGAGAATTTTGCCTCTCTATCTTCACTGCTTTGTTTAGAGGAATTCTGTCTTGGACATTCTTCCTCAGCCTCTCATTCCCATTGCACTCTTTGCTGTGCATTCACTAACTCATCATGAACTTGCTTTTCCCAGACCCCTGCACTCCCATGGTAAGGCTGATGTTAAGCTCCACAGGGAGTTTTTATCATTCTTGAGTACAAGAAATGGAGTAAAGAACGTCATCCTCCTTCCTGCCTCAGCCACTGCAAGGGTGGAATGAGGTAATGAAGTCCACAGAGCAGAGCCCTGATGACGTGCATGGCTTCTTTTCCAGAGATAACACCCCTGTGAGGCATCATCTGTGCAAATTCCAGGATAATCTGCCATGTCATTCCTCTCATGAAGCCAGAATCAGGGAGAAGTTGGGATGCAAACTCTTTTCAGCCCTGTGACAGAGCAGAATGAGAGCATTAAAAACTTGCTGCTTGGCTGCCTAACTTCTCTTTTTGGTGGCAAAATGTGTGATAGCAATTCCTTATCTGAGCTGGGGGGAAGATGGGATTCATTTCTGTTTAAGTTATGATTTCATCAAGTAGTATGAGCAAAATTGATTAGAATAATTGATACTCTCAGTAGCAGCTACTCCCCATGTCCCAGATTTCCTGAGGAAAGCTGGATGAATGACCTAGGAAGGTATCTGGGGATGAGACCTAGGGACCAGCACACAGGATTATACTTTTTAAATGCTTTAATTTATACAAAACTTAAGCTGGTAGAAATTTTCATCCTGCTCCTGGCAAATATAGACTCATTTAGTTTAAGACCAAGTTCAACTATAAACTCCTTGCATGGACTACAGTGGGAACATTCCCTGGCCTTGAACTTCAGCATGTTCCCCAGGAGGCAATCTCATAAAACAAAACAGGGACACTGAGGGGAGTTGGGGGAAGTGCAACACAAATTAGCAGTGGCCTAGAGGGTTTTGTTTGCTTTTTAAAAAAAGAAATTGCATGAGTTTAGAGTAACCCAAGGGAAACATGAAAGCATCTATGTTTCTGTAATTGGCTATGTCAATTCTAAGATCCTTATTTAAACAGTGATTTGACATCAGAAAGATATGCATACTAAGAAAAAATATTGAGAACATGAAAACAGAAACACTGGAGTGAAAATAAAGTGGGAGTTCAGTTTAAGGACTAGGAGAAAAGCATATGAAAGTGGGATTGCATAAACTGTGACACAACAGATCGTATTATTTCAATTGTCATGTTTTGATGCCCAGATGAAGGTTATCTGGCATTTTGCCCACTGATTCTGAATAAATGTGCAGGGGAGGTGCTAAAAAGTCTCAGTAGTAGCAAGAATTGTGGTGAAATCAGGCTTTGGACTCAGTGTCTTTGTGCAAAACTTCCTGGTGGAAGATCTCCACTTCAAAAAGCCAAATCTAATGTATGGTTCCCTATAAGAATTGTGCAGTGGTACAGGCTCTCTTCTGCCAGATACACAGTTCTGCTATTCCTTCTGCCTCTCCAAGTTCATTGACATCATGGTGTGTAATGTAGGGCCATGAGGTGGCCAGGCTTGAGAAATGCTTTTGTGGCTCTGAAACTCATTTACCACAAATACTTCAAACCACAAATCCTGCTGAGAGTAAGCTATTTGTGTTAAAATAGCTTTTTCTCTGTTGTCTTGTGGCTTTTTTTCATCTATTTAAAAAGATGATACATCCTAGTAGCAGTCTGAAGCAGGAATTGGGTGCCTTTTTTCCAACAGGCTCAGTTCCTGTGAGCTGCAACTCCTGGAAGCTGCTGAGGCATTCTTGTTGCATTATCACCTTCCATAATCATGTCATTAGTGACTGTGGTGTCGTTTAAGTGCCCAGATTCTCTTTGCTCTCTGTGGAGACCATTTGTCAAGGGGCCAAACCTCTCTAGATGAAAGTCTGTTGCTATTCACAGATGTATTGTGAAAACACTGAACTTTAAGAGGCACTTAACCCATGATCATTAGAATTGAGGATTATTGTTTCTGCCACACATGCTCTCTCTAGAGAGAAGGAACTGCCACCATGTTAATGAATACGGAACTATTTTCATGCTCTTTTCAACCACTATACATCCTTCCTGTGGCCCAGAGGAAAAGAGGATCTGAGACTGGCTCTTTCCTCCAATAGATTTTCATAGTTATTCTTTTATTCAAAGTGATGTTTGGTTTAACAGGACCTATTTGGGATCCACCACTTGTTGAAGATCCACCATCTCTTAGAGTAAAGCTCCGTGGTTGTTTTAAGCAGAAGAATTCTAAATAGGAGCGGACAGGGAATGTCCTAGAACTGATAAAGGGAAATGGCAGCTGTACCTCTGAAAATGTTTGTATTTCATGTATTCTTGATCTGTGCTTTCAAGCCGTTGCATGGTGTCACCTCCCTGACCATGGCAGTGTCAGTGCATCAGCTGTGGATCAAGGCAGCTCTTCATGGAGCAGGGATGCAAAAGCTTAGGGAGAAAAATAAAGCTGTTGTAGTATTTGCTGTTGGTCAAGTAATTATAGCAAGAGACTGCTCGACTGGTGGTTTGGCAGTGGATTTAATATAAAGCTCTTTTTCCTTTTGTGTTCAGTTTAAACTCAGACTAATACCAGCTTTTTGTTTACGAATTTGTGGCTTTTTCTCACAGGAATTTGCATTTCTTTTCTCGTTGTGCTGGGCAGTATTTCCTCCAAATCCTCCTTGTTCTCAAGCCCTGTTCCATGCTGTTAGCCCCTGCTTTTTCTGATGCTTTTTTTGCCTAGTTTGCTGGCTGGATGAGATCCAGCACGGATTAAGTGTGACCCAAAGATGCACAAAGATGGGTGTAACATATTCCCTTTGGTCAGGTGGTCATGGGACCATTCTCCTTTGGGAAATGGACTCTGCTGGGACACACTGCCAGGATGCAATTTTTGGACTCCTGATGCATCAAATAGGTGCATTTCTGGGGCTGCACTTTGTGAGGACATGCTTTATAGGAGATCCTAAAGCTCCTTCGTGGCCAGTTGTGCTTTAACATATCCATGTTTGAAGGTTTCTTCTTTATTCTGGAAAATAAGGGCTATGTTTAGAAACAAGAAGTCTGTTATTTTGTATGTCCTTAGTGTGAGCAGTTGACATTCTTTGTCTGCTTAAGCATTAATCTTTTCTACCTGTCAGCTGAGCACTTTGCTGGCATCACTTTGGACTGCAGAAAATAAACAGAGCTGTGTAAATAATGTTAAAAAAATATAGATATAAAAATATAAATGCTACCATAATCCTCAGAGTTGGTACTCAGGCTGGTAATTCCAGCAGAGTTGATTCTTCACCAGAATCAACTGAATGGGACAAAACCCAGGATCAACCCTCTGAACCTGGTCAGGATGTGATACCTAGGACTTGGCTTGCTCAAACACTTCCTTTGACACATATATAATGGAGCTTAGTTTTAAAGCCTTGAGAATCCCAGCACAGCTGTGCCCTGTCCTAAGGAAATACAGGAAAGAACCCAGTTGTTTCTTAATCACCAGATGTGCACTTTGTACATTACATTGTGTATTTGTGTCAACAA